GTCCGTGGGGGAAGAATCCTGTCGGGGGGCGGTTCAGGTTGTGGTGCCCTCCCAGTCCGGTCCGGCGGCGGCTCGTCTGGTGGGGTCGGTGTACTGGCGGTGGCCTGTGATGTGCTCCACGTAGATTACATTTAAGATGCGATTAGCTGGTCAATCACTTCTTAAAGTGTAACCTGGCCTCATGTTCAGGCAGTTAATGGTGTGACAGAATGCAAAACCAGCCACAAAATTATTATACAAAAGTAATGGCTAGTTTCTACTCTACCTTAAAATATGTTTGTACGTGGCAGAATTGCACTAGGGTCTCCCATCTGGCCCTGGTGCCTTTCGCTGGCTGACCATCAGCCAGTGGTGTACCATGGGTCTCTGGCACCTGGAGGCCAATGCTTTTATTTTCGTCCCCCTCCTCCCCCCATCTGCGGCTGATCACTAGGGGCAGGGGATCCCCTGGTGGCTGATCACCAAGCCCGGAAATGCCGGTGACGAAAATTGGAAGTGCCACCAGCGCTTCTGTGTGTCACTTCCGAGTACCCCCTGCAGGGCCCAGCTGGCGCCCCCCCCCACTGCGCTGGCAGTTGGGGGCCATGGCCCCCTCCTGACCCCCACCCCCCATCGGTACGCCACTGCCACCAGCCAATTGTCAGCAACATTGGAATTGTCAGCAGCATTGGCTTGAACCCCACTGCAGTCCTTGCCATCTGATTACTCAGCAACCAGGGCTTCCTGGTATGGTCCTGATGCTGCCAGTGATCAGCTGATTGTTGGCTGGCAGGGACTGTATGGTGGCTGCTTTGAGCTCTGATACAGTCCCTGGAGTGAGCTGACAATCAGCTGATTGTTGGGCACCCTAGCCAGTACAGGGGAGCCCAGAATCATGATCCTAGGGTCTTCCTGCACTAGCAAGTAGGGCATGATTGGAGTCTTATCTCTGATCCCAAAAGTATGCATTCTGCTTTACACATGTGGCATGGCAAGAGGCACGATTGTCCAAAACAAGGATTGGATCCTATGGTGCCTTTAAACAAGTATCTGTCAGTAGGTTTAGATAAAAATACGTGAAACTCGTGGTATAGGAAGGAAAGGATCTTAATCCTTTCAACTGAGGAGAAGAAAAATCTACTTTTGTCAACCTAAAACCTCTAAAAATAAAGTCTGATCTTCCCCACCCCTGCTTTCCAAACAATTATATTCTTTTTTTTAATTTACCATTTATAAACCATATGTTTGATTTCCCTCCTGTTCTCTTTATGAGCTGTAGTGGTTTCACATTTTCAGACTTTCTCACAATTGTGCAGGCTAGCAACTGAGATGCTTCCATAATGTCCTTATTCTAGGAGTTGGGGTACTTTTAAAAATAGTACATAATTCAGGATTAAATTGCCTGAGTTAGCAATACTGAACATTAGCTCACTTGTTTGAGAACTATCAGCTCAGTCACAATATCATACTCCCTTGAGTAGTGGCCAGATCGTGTGTGGTCTTCATTTTTTTGCAATTTTAACATAGCTGTGCTTTGGAAATGCACAGGGTTATTCCCATTTGTCTTAAATTTTCAGTTAGCAGATGAAGTAGTAGAAATAATAAATCTTTCTGGCTATTACAGTGGTGCCTACGAGCACCAGTGCTCTGTATTTGTTCAGTGCTTAGCACAATTCCCTTATTTTTCCACAAACTGTTCTTTACCTGAAAAATTTCTTCAATGTAGTTCAGACCCCATTTGCTTAAGTTTCCTGTAGACTTGTGGTCTAGAGGCTAAGC